GCAGGGCACCCATATACCAGGGCTGCTCAGTGCCACAAAGCACCAGTGGGGGACAACTGCAGCTGGATCCATGTCCTGGTGAGTGAAGGTTGCAGGGGGAGCTCTGATTTTCTATCAAAAAAACCCCCAAATCAAATGCCAAAACATATAGGTATTTAGAAATTATTTTATTATAATGACTGAGGCTTCCAAATTGCTTTAAAACTGTAAATATATCAATACAACATTGATATATTTACAACTAATACCTATATTTATAGTGGTATTTCGTTTTAATTGCAGGAAAAAAAAAAAATCAGATTTTAATCAGATAATTTGGGATTTTTTTAATAGAGAAAACCAGGATCCCTGGTTATTACTCTTATCTTGCTAAAATAAAATGATGACATCAACTTTAAGTACGTATCCAAGAAAGGTGAGCAAGATGGCTATTAATGTAGGGATGCAGTAAGAACAACTGTAGACTCTACACAGCACCAATTGAATAATGTTGAATAATGTTAAAGTTATAGCTAGTCAGGGAAACGGTTATAATATCAGGCTGGATGCACAAGAGAGGGACATAATAATTAAGAATTATTCAAGTATTGAGGAAGACTTTTAAGGAAAGCATGATGCTTACAAGTAGGAGCAATCAAGAGAGACTTCCCTGGAGCTTATTTCTTCTGCAGTGAAATGAAGGTCTGTTTTGACTTGCCACAAGACCCACTCCATTAACAAATAAGCATCTTACCTTGTGTGCAGTTTCTGCAAACTGCTGAGCAGTGTTTCTCAGCTCCTCTGTCTTTTCCTCTGCTCGACCTAACCTTTCACCACGCTCATTCAAAGCCTGACTTGCCTTCTGTACTGCACTGGTCACACTATCTGCTGCTGAATGGAGCATGCTGTTTCCTGCAACATGAAACTTATTATTAGAAACACAATGTAAAACATCAGTATATGATAAGCTACTACAGATATTACTAAATATTTCTTCTTAGTATTAAAAGAAATTATTTTTCATCCCTTTAATAAGTTTGGAACAGCATGCCTATCAATTCTTCTCAATGTCATTACATCTAATTATGTGAATTTCCAGTTAATCCAAGTCTGCATATTTGTATACAACCTGGGTAGATATTTTGTCTTCAGCCATGTCATTAAGAAATTAGCAACATAAACTGCAATAAAAATATATAATTAAGTAACAGTAAGAAACAAATGTTCATAACTGGAGCATTTTAGTGAAATGCTATCTTTCAAGTTACAGTATTTTATGTCGGTAGCTCATCTCTGGATACTACCCAAGTAAGTTAATGGAACAATTCACAGAAGTTTGTCCTGTTCATTTAGCAGGCCATGCCAAGATTCTACACAATATCTGTACCAAGGAAGACAGGTACTCTCCAGTATTCTCAGACAGTTGCAATGCTATGAGGGACTCTTCATCTGGGACTTTCTAGCCAATCATTTAAAGGTTGCTTCTCAGCCTTGGTTAAGATTGAGCCTTGGTTAACAATCAAATCATTACTTTTTTCTAAATCAGCATCTGTTTTCTTCCTTCTTTATACTGTTTCATATCTCCCTCACGTCCAAGGCTTACGATTTCAAAATATCCAATTCTCCATATCCAGGCTGTAGTTATATCCTTTACTTTCCTCTCTCATCAAGAGCATCATTTTCTTTATTGTTATTGCTAATGACCCTTACCACCATCATTGTCATCCAAACCCTGGGTCATTTGTAATATCACTTCTTTTTGACATTTTATTCAAAATGCTGTTGCTGAAGTCATCAGCCACATTAAACTAAACTGTTCACCATTTTAGTAGAGTCCTAGGGTTGAAGGAACCTCAAGGGTCATATAGTCCAACTCCCTGCACAAACAGAGCATATCCTACTCCTGTAGGGCTAGCTTCTATTCCACGTATTAGGTGGCCTTGGGCATGTGAGATACTATTCCACATAGCTCCAGTCCTGGAAAAATAAGTTAATACCAAGGTGGGCCTATTTCCTCCTTGCTGTTGGTTTTGTTGTAACTTGGTATGAAGGGTAAGATGACAGTGAGTTACGAAAGTAGAACAGAATATCACTTGGGCACCTAAGTCCGCTGAGACACCCAACTGGATCCGGCTTATATCATCCCAATCATTCCAAATCAATGCTTAACCCAGCCTCTTCTTTTAAACCTTCAGTGAACTCAATTTCACAACTTTCTTGGGAAACTGTTCTCAATACCCTACTGTTTTAAACTGTAAGGATAGGTTTTAAAAAAAAATCAATCTAAGTCTGCTTTGCTGCTTCATGCCATGTCTTCTGCAGCAAGGGAACACTTGGTTTTTTTTTTATAGCAGCATTTAAAATATTTGACAACTGCTATCATGTCCTACCTCAATCTCCTTTTCATTAAACTGAAAAAGCTTAGTTTTCTCAACTGTTCCTTCAATGACTTCCATTCCAGCATCTTTATCATCTTCATCAAATTACCTCTTAATTCTCTTCAGTTTTTCCACATCTTTTTTAAATCACAGAGTCTGGAAGTGCACACAAAACTAGATGAGGCCTCACCAGAGCTGAGAGCGGTACTACTACCTCTCATGCTGCTCCCCTTTCCCCCACCCAATGGCATCATACTGTTTATAAGTTTATGTTAAGTTTATGATAATGCTATGATTATGTTAAGTGTGTGATCTACCAAATGCCCAGATGATTCTCAGTAATACCACTACTTATTCAATCACCACCCATCCTGTTTTTGGACATTTCATTTTTATTTTCCTAGGTACAGCATGTTACATTTGTCTAGGGCAAATTTGATGTTGTGGTCTAGTGCTGACATCTCTGATATATGGAGATCATCTTAATTTCTAATCCTATCCTCCCAAGAGTTTGCAACTCCTCCCAATTTTATGTTATTTGAGAACTTCAGCAGAAAGCTCTCCATTTTTGTGTCCATGTCATTAATACAAATGTTAAGCACTGGACCCTGACCAGACCCCTGTGCTACCCTCCAAAAAACCTACTGCTATCCTAATATCAATCCATTTATAACTATTCTCTGCTTATGGTTATTTATACAGTTAGGTACCCGTCTCAGTTTTGCTATCTTTTCTTTAATTTAGCCCACTTTTCTTTAATTTACATATGAGAATGGCATGAAGGACTGTATCAAAATCGTTATTAAACGCACATTGTATCAATTGCATTCCCTTCATCCAAGAAACTAGTTACCCTGTAAAGGAGAAAATGTAGTTTGTTTGGCATGATTTGTTCCCAAAATATCCATAGTGGCTGTTAATGATCATCATTGCATCCATGACATGTTTACAAATCAACCACCCTATAATTTGCTCCAGTAACTTCCCAGGTGTTGAAGTTAGGCTACCTGACATTTAAATACCCTGGTCTCTTCCTTTTTCCTTCTTTTTAAAAACTGGCACATGTTGCCCCTTCTTTAGTTCTCTAGGACTTCACCTTTCATTCCTGAGTGCAAATATTGGTGCTAATAGCTATAAGAGTCTTCAGCCAGTTCCTTTAAGCATCTTGGGAATACTGTCAACAACTCTTGCCTTATGCCATCATTTTTAGGGCTCTTTCCAGAATCATTCCATTGATGATCCCTGTACACCTTTCTTTCGACTCCCACTCATCTGGAAATTTAGGTCTAATTACTGTTCCCTTCTACATCACTTGGGGCCAATACTGAATTGAACTGCATGTTAATGTTGGCATTGACACGGATGCTTAGTAATATGGAAGGACTTATCTATATGACTAGATATTAAAGAGAAATGCCCTACTCAGTTTAGGAAGAGATGCCTGAGGGCAAACATGATTAGTGTTAACAAAATACTAAATGGTGAAGAGAAATTAACTAGGAATTTAGTATTTACTCTCTAGTATAAATGTCAGTTGTGAAAGACAAGCCCAGGTATATAATCAAGGATAAGTAGCCAAGAAAGAAAAATAATTCAATACAGTGACTATATCGTAAATCCGCCTGAAGTACCCGATCACTTGGTTGATAAACGCCTGTGTGTGCGCGCAGCCGCAGTGCAGCACAGATGCAGTGAGGAGCACAGCCTGGCAGTGTGGAGAGCTGTGCGTAGCTGGTAAGTCTGGTGTGGTGGAAGGGGAGGGCAGAGGAAAGGAGCGTGGGAGGGCAGATCAACACCCCCTGAGGTGAGGGATGGAGTAGGGCTGGGGTAGGTGCTGCCCAGCAGGGGCGGGGTGGGATTGGGACTA